CAGCCATTAAAATGAAAGGAAGACCATGGGGGAAAAAAAAGGTTAACACTTTTGACAGTATTTTTCAAAGCCTGTGAGTATGATGTTAATAGGTGTAGATGACAAAAGGATTCTGGAGTCAAACGAAATTATAAAAAGCTGAATTAAGCAAATAAACAGGATTCTCTACTATCAGATTTCTCAGAATCTTTAATATGCTAATGTGAGCTATGAAAAAATATATCATGTGAATGCCAAATGTGTTTGTAAATGCCATTTGGTTAAAACCTAGCAGTTACATTTGTACATAAAGCCTAAGTAACATTTTGCATTTAAAATGTGAGAAATGCAATTCTCACTCTCTGAAACGAGGAAGTGAAATCTTTAAAATATGACCCCCACCCCAAAACAATTAATATATCTTTTTTCTCTAAAAAGACCGTAAATCCTTAGAATTCTGTAATATAAAATTAATGGCAGACATCCACTTATAGCCATAATGGTGTATCAGGGACCAGATTTACCCTTCTGCTTCAACCTAGAAAACCAGACGAATATGAGGCAAAACTTTTTAGACATTCGCCAATAGGCAGCTTAGGCCCATGATCCCTGAGGGAAGGGAAACAAATGAGGTGAGCCCTAAGACTGTTCCAGCATACTGCCCAGAGGCAGTTTCTAGGCCTCAGTGCAGGGAGAGGGGGCTCAAGTAGAGCTCAGTGGTCTTTCCCAGTTATGAAGATAGAGAGATCACAGCTCAGGAAAGCCAAGGTGGCTTGAAGCTGCAGGGCAGAATACCAAACAGGATGGAGCTGCCTGTACAAAGAGAGTTCTTGAGATTTTTTTTTTTTTTTGAGACAGAGTCTTGCTTTGTCACCCTAGCTAGAGTACTGTAGCGTCAGCCTAGCTCATAGCAACCTCAAACTCCTGGGTTCAAGCAGTCCTCCTGCCTCAGCCTCCTGAGTAGCTGGGACTACAGGCATGCGCCACCATACCCAGCTATTTTTTTCTATTTTTAGTAGAGAAGGGGTCTTGCTTTTGCTCAGGCTGGTCTTGAACTCCGGACCTCAAGCGATCCTCCCACCTCAGCCTCCCAGAGTGCTAGGATTACAGGTGTGAGCCACCAAACCCGGCCTGAGTT